CAGTATGTAGATATATTCTACCTTTGCAATATTGCATCTGTGCAGTTTGTAGAAATATTCTAACTTTGCAATATCGCATCTGTGCAGAATTTTAGAAGATGTTTAGTTTCTGGAGCGTTGAAAACAAGCCATGAAGTATTCAAATGCTTAAATTTCAAGTTTATAATTTATGTTTATGATTTGCATTTTAATTTCATATATGACATTCCAACATCATCGGACACGATCATACTTTTTCCGAAATAAGATAGCGAACTTAGTGAGCATCATTTGTGCTCGGCATGCTAGTTGTCATTTACTGCATTCCCCTTATCCCTAAACATTTGGTGTTTTTTGTTATTGATCACCATCAATGCTCCACACTAAATATATGGTTGTTCCGTCCATTATTTTAGTATTGGCAACAAACTTGCATTAAAGTGTGGGTAGTATTTCCCCATGCGAACTACAACATCACCCACAATGCATTAATTGACAATATATATACACATATGAATTATGCATAACTATACTAAGCTACAAGTAATATTTAGTTAGATACCTCTTTGATGCTGACCAAATCTAATGCTTTCTTATGAAGATCATTGTTATGTAGTATTTGTCTCAAATCCGCTTTACAACCAACTAAAATAAAGGGTATATCTTCGCCACATTTGCTTCTTATCTCGGGTAACCACTGGGGAATAGAGACGAGAAAATAAACATGAATGCCATTGTCGCTGTCACGTTCGATATGGTTGATATTGGCAGTGAATGAGATAGAACCTATCAACGGGAAATGTTTCACTGAACAATTTTGAAACTTAGACACAAGCTATAATACTGACCGATAATTGAAAAGGACTAATAATCATTGCGAATAGAAAACATCGGCACTTGACATGAAAATGACAATCATATAATTGCTATTCCCTGATTGGTTCTCAATTACCTGAAATGTAATATATATGTTATCGTTTATTCCGTAGATGAGCGCCACCTTTATATGATATGACCCATTATGTCCCTCATAATGTCGGGAATAGTTATTTCAAAATTTTTGTATTTATGGAAAACTGATTTATTTGGTCATTCTTTTCACACATCTTAGAATAATTAAATTCTTGATGACTCAGTTCATGGAGCTATAATGAGTGACTAAATCCATGCACAGTTGTTTAATGTTTGTTTTGCTTACGATTCCTAGCCTGTTCGAGGCACATGTAAACCATAGTACTTGTTGCTGTTCAACACTTCATCGCATACTTGGTATTTGCGAAACGATATCCACCCACGACGTTTCTCATTAACACTATAATTCGTGTTAACAGAACATTTCATTGTATCCACCAAAACATCGCCATGTTCTCTGGTGCGTTATGTGCAGCTGTCGAATCTTGGGTCACCGTGCGTATTATGAAGCGAAACCTTTAATAAGTTTCATGAAAATACCCAAGTGGGTGTTCACCATTCAACATTCATATATATATCGTTTATTACATTGTTAAGGTCCTTCTAGCGTCAACTGACTACTATAGATTCGACAATGAATGCATTATATGTTTGTACGTCTGTCCTCCTACTATATAGTATTGCATGTTTCAAGGTATAGTTTTAATTAATACAATGACTCGCCATCGTATAATATAGCACCCCAAGTGCACGCTGTGAATCCCATGCCTGATATACTAAAATACTGTCTAATTGAATTGAAATTTATCATTATTCATCGACAAGTTGTCTGCAATTGATTCAACTCTTTCTTCATTAGATATAATCACATTTAGTTTACCACACTTTGTATAATATGTTTTATTTTTAAATCAAGTATTCACACCACAAGTTAACAATTATAGCGAATTAACATCCACCATGATGTAAGTCTTATGGGAATATAAATACAGACACTCCTAGTCTCTATATATCACGAATTGTTTCGGTTCGTGATTAAAACACGAGCCAGTTGTCACCTTTTCTATCGGCTCAGTTTACCTAGAGGCATTGTCTTTTATAAATATATTTACAGCCTTTGTCCAATTTAAAAATCGACAATAAAAGAAAGAAGTGTTAGGTGGTCCATGTGCTCTCATGCCTTGCACTATAGCAATTGGCAAGGCCATTGCTTATTAAATGATTCCTTGACCTATGAAATCACCTTCCCAAGTGTTTCCATGGATTTCCCCAGCTTTTCATTGCTACACATAATTACTATATTTAGCCAAGTGTGTGATGTGATAAACCATGCTTGGCATATCATATTACAATGCTATTATGAACATATGTGACATTGTCTTATAGTTTAAATTAACCTTGCCAATCAAAAAATGTATTTCCAAGAATCGGTTTGAGTTGATTGTATGTCAGAAGGCTTTCAAGAAAACACAATATGAGATACAATTACTTCTGTCAATGTTAACTACTGTGTGGATATTATTGTGTCTACTTTCAACGTAATCACGTTTGGTTTAATATATTAAATGCACGACACTTCCCAATATTCAGTCATTGTAATTTCTAGTATAGCATATTGCTCGACATTAAACAGGCCATCTATCGGGTCAGCTCATTGCTCGGTACAGTAGGCAGACCTCATGTCGGGTCAGCATATTGCCCCGGCCGGGCATATTGCCCAGTACAGTAGGCAGCTCATTTGTCGTGGGTCAGCATATTGCTGGATACATTAGACAGGCCATCTTTCAGGTCAGCTTATTGCCCGGTACAGTAGGCTGACCACCTGTCGGGTCAGTGTATTGCCCGACACATTAGACAGGCCATCTGCGTGTCAGCATATTGTCTGGTCCAGTGAACAGATCACCTGTCGAGACAGCATATTGCCTGGTACAGTAGTCAGGCCACCTGTTGGGTCAGTTTATTGCACGACACATTAAAATTAACAGACCACCTGTTGGTCAGCTTATTGTCCGGTACAGAAGGCAGACCATCTGTCTGGCCAGCTTTTTACCCGATACAGTAGACAAACAACCACAGTTTGAAAATGAAAAGAAAAATATTTGGAATTTGATGACAGTTATTTTAGTTTGACTAATTCCCATCCCCATCGTTCACCTTTCGAAATAAATTACAACGTCCTTTTTATTTTTCAAAAATGTCAAGATCTGAATATGAGGAGTTTTCCTTGCATTACATGGTACTATAGATTCCAAGTCACGTGTAAATATTTTGTTAATACAAATTATCACATTGAAACAAAATACACTTATGAATTGTTTTAGCTGATTGACCTGATGTCGCCCATAGTTTTAAAGATAGTATAACATTTTAGCTGATTGACCTGATGTCGCCCATAGATTTAAAGATAGTATAACATTTTAGCTGATTGACCTGATGTCGCCCATAGATTTAAAGATAGTATAACATTTTAGCTGATTGACCTGATGTCGCCCATAGATTTAAAGATAGTTCCTTATATTCTAACTAGACGTATAACTCTGATATTGTTGTAAATGGGAGTTTTATATTCCCCCAAAGATGGAAACCATTCGAAGGATGTATCTACATGTAACTAAATTCATTCGCTTGGATTCAAAATTCGTCATATTGTTAGATGTCATTAAGACGTATTTTATTTGTACTGATAGATATCTTGATGACATGGCAAACATATGATGTAAAACAATCCATGTCACTGTTTTATATATTAAGAACTCTTAAATTTTAAAGTAAATGCCTACTACTAGAGCCCTTTCTTGTGCAAACAGTTGTATAGCTGATTTTTAAATACCTATTAGATCTTGCCACCCATAAATCACTGGCCTGTGAACTGCGATTAACATTAACTGTGACGTCATGACGATAATGACCCAATTCGAATTAACGTGTCTAAGTTATATCAAATATAGAATGAATTCCGCGCGCTACACTAAAAAGTGAATTGTAAACACAGTATGTGTTAGATTAGAGTAGCCAATAAGAGCATATCAACCACAAAATAGATATTTAACTCGCGACGTGATGTAATTAGTAAAATGGCCAATCAAAACAGATTTGTTTCCTGTTATGTGATATTTACGAAAATGATGATTTTAAATATATTTATTTCACTTGCTTTCAAAACTATGTTGGGGCCTTGACGTAATAATGTACGAATACATGTATGTGTAGTACACACAGATGCGATGAAATGTGTAGTTTACCTTGAACTCTGCGTTCTTAAGCGTCTCTCGTTTTGACACGTCATAGCAAACAACAAACGCGTCTGCATCCGCATACGTCAAATTGCGCATGCTCTCATAGTCTTCCTGACCTGTTGAACGAGATAATATGCACCATGTATTAAAATATTATGATATATGTTTTCAAACCAATACAATTAACATCATTAGAGTAGATTTACATCATTAGAACTGTAGGTGATATCTACACAGCCATTCTTTTGATACATATGCAATTCATACTAAATATGTTACACTTTAAACCATATCTAACATGGATTTTGTGAGCAAACCTTTTACTGGTAATATTTACAAGTTTGAAAATATTCAAGTTACCCCAACCACAATAACTTTGTTAATGACGACGTAAACATCAACTTATCAGACTAAGATTAAGACAATTGTTTACATTTCAGAGACAATCTGTCGTGCATGGTACTTATCATTTCTGGATGATTTGTAGGGGGTTACTCGCACACGCTCGAGTTTATATATGTGTTGTTAATGCTGACGCCACAATATCTAAATAACTTTTATGGATTTTAGTGTCCCGTAAAAAAGTGTATCCGAGTATGTCATCAAATCTGACATTCCTTTCATCCTCGTCCGTTGCCAGTGACGGCTTTCATCCTCGTCCGTTGCCAGTGACGGTGTAATCACTAAATCAGTTTTCCAAATATCCATCAATTACGCCACGATTGGCAAGTACAATTTTTGAAATAGTCGATTTGTGTGTACACGAGGCGGAAACAATGCTCGTCATAACATCGACCTCGAATGATTCAAGTTACTGATGAAATCTAATAGTATGTTTGCAAGATACCATTTAGCAACTACACTTTAGCTAACGATCGTGATCTCACCTGATATATCGTGTAAAGAGAGCGTGATAGTACTTGAGCCTAAGTCAAAGTCAACCACACAGGATTCAAATATTGCAAATTCATGGCCCTGTAGTGTGAACAGAAAAAAATACATTAACATATTTAATGTTGAAACTTTTTTTGAATGACCTATTTATGGGATGACCATAAGAACAACGAACAAAGGAATCCTGTATACAAATTGTAAGACGTTCTGAACACTCTACACTTATTCACATCCTTCTGTCATCTAAATATTCGTGTTCGAGTGTAACAATATACCAATAACTTGAGACGTGATTTGCCCTTGTGGTTTTAGATAACATAATGTCCGGGAAGTTCAATGCGCATGCTCATTTGTGAATCAATATATTCTATGAGAAGTAAATGAACGGGAAATCAAAATATGAATATTTTGTTATATTGTTGTTATCTATAGGTATATACTGAAATGACAATGTACATCATAGACCAATACTGCTCTCTTTTGCAAACAGGACGCTGTAAATTACCATCACCAACCATTGATTGAATCATTGCGGATTGAGGCGTTGACAGACTTCTCGCTGCGTGCCTTGTCCCTTTTTAGAATAAACCCCATACAGCAATGAAGTGAGTAAAAGCGGAATAAAAATCTGTTTTATTTACACAAAGCATATCTGGTTTGTGTGTGAACAATCCATGCATGTCACGTCTAGTCTGTCGTCTCATTTATTTTTTTTCAATTTAATTACACATAATCGCGTTGGTGACTTAATTCTCACGTGGCCACTAAGCTCTGACAATCGTTGTTATTTTTCTCATGTACATGTATGTGTGTGTATACAACTCGTTTAACTGAATTCAGGTATAGCAGCTACAGTAAGATTGGGTCGATTATATGTGTTATACTGTTTTTACTGTTGCCATTTACACACGCTTATTGCTTCACCTTCATTAAATCGTAATGACTCTGTAATGTATACTAACACAAACCTTCATTCTATTTCCCAATATACGAGCGAATCAATCTACTAGATAACACAAGCTAATACTTAACCAGTAAAACCATGTATAATTAATTCATCTTATACAGTATAAGTTACGTGATGTTGTCGTGAACCAGAAGTGTGTGCACTATCAAAAAAGAAAGAAAATAACAGCCATTTGCATATGTAGACTATTATTACAAGTTGATTCGTGAACTAAATTATAATGACACTTTCTGACAATCTTTGTCACTATAAATCAAACAATAAAACTTTACATTAATTGAACATTAAAATAATATGGATGATTAACCTAAATATCGAGCTAAAGAATACCTATGTCGATAACTAAAAAAGTAAAAAAAGTAGTAAATAATACTAAAAATTTAGAAGATTTTTGTAGAATTATATTTAATTACAGCCGCGATAAACTAAGCATGGTATGGGGAAACTAAATACTCTTATTATATCGCGTGTGTGTTACGTGTCATGTGAATAGGGTATATGCTAAACCATGTAGAAATCTGAGATAGATGTAGATCAAGTCTAACAACCTCGAGTAATTGATAGTCTATATTAAAGTTGCACAAGAAATAATATAATGTTAAACCACGCATTACTTAATATGTATTCACCGTCTGTCCTATTTATAGTGCATTATTAGATAAACCCATGATTAAATCAATTAGTATGATGTTATTATTATTGCTAAATTTAAATGTCATAATTAGAAGCTACAATGTTTGTAAATTAAGTTATAGTCTCCATAGGTAAATGAAGCTATAATGTGCTCGATTTTGATTCACTAATTAAGCGTATATGCATCAATCATAGTAATTACAATCTATTAAATAAACAGCTGTAACTAATACAATATACATTATATGAGCTATGTGTGATACGACAACGTTCTTATATCAATCTATTATTTCAGGGATAGCAGTTGTATCCCTGAAATAATCGGGCGACACAAATTGAAGCGGGCATTATGTTTAACGTCAGAAACATTCAATGGTTGAGCGGGCAGTAATTTAAGTTATAATGTAAATAACTATACATGATCACATTTCACTTTAAATAGTTCTTAATATTTTGTTCTGATAGCAGGAAGTCTTTTTAGAATGTATGTACACACTGTCCCGATGATTCATTGAACCACTAATGTAATATCATACCTCTTTAGAAGAAAGACAAAAAATCGTATCTGTATCACCGATACACAGTCAGGATACGTGGATGGAATATCTATAGTTCAATTATAGTCGGTGACTGTCTTAAAACTCTTCCTCGTTATATAATTGCTTAGCACAGGACCTAACGAGCTAGTTTCGTTTTTACTGTTACTACCTGACTTCACCCCTTATCCGAAGTCTGAAAAGAGATTATAACTTCACCTCTGTGAAATTCCATCCATTCGTCCATCCGCGCCTTTATCCCGGACCATATCCAAATCTATCAGGTTCATACTGCCTCATACATCATGCATCTTCAGATATTAGTTTCGTGATCTGATTTAAAATGACCGAATGGCGGCCATTTCTAAAAGTTATCAAAATAAAAAAATCTGCCCTTCCGGAACCACATATCGGTCGTGTATAAACAAATTATCGTCAAACTCAAACATACATCGAACATTATAGAATCTTGATGTACGTCACTTTGTTTTGCAGAGGGAATTCAGTATGACCGACTGGCGGTAAATTTGTTTTAATGAAAATCTTCTGTGCTGTACGGAATATTATCAAATTTAGTAACTTGGGGTAATACGCAGTAATGTTATGATTAGCTTAAGTTTTGGGGACATTTCCCTGCATATTAAGTAGATAGTTTGCAGATTATCTCATTTCAGCCGGTGTAGGCAAATTCTCAAAAACTCCCAATGAGACTTTGATCGAATTTGCTATATATTTGTTCTGGATATCTACTGTCTGATAAACATAGCCTCCAATACCATTTCTCCTTCACTGACTGGAATTTTCATTTCCTAGATATGTCATGAAACAGCAATGATTGCAGGTATTCTGTATTCACACGGGAGCTTTGCAAGTTTAACTTTGATATAGATCGGATTCAAAATGGCCGACTGGTGGCCATTTTGTTTGACTTGCATTGGAAACGGACGGGGACTATATAATTCTATGGCTTGCATTGAAAACGGACGGGGACTATATTGTGATATGACTTACATTTAAAACGGGCGGGGACTACACTGAGCTATGGCTTGCATTGAAAAAGGATGAGGACTATATTATGCTATTTCTTGCATTGGAAACGAACGGGGACTATATTATGTCAATGGCTTGTATTGAAAACGGACGGAGACTATATTATGCCATGGCTTGTATTGAAAACGAACGGAGACTATAGTATGTTATAACTTGTATTGAAAACGGACGGAGACTATATTAT